TGATCAATCACAGGCTACGTTTTAGACGATTGCCTGTTCGTGAATCATACGTGTGTCACTAATACTAGCGCACATGCGGCTCATAAACAGGCGAATTTCTAAATATAGCTTGGCCAACTTTAAATCTTTATATTTCAAAAATTATTACTTGGAATAAAGAATAGCACGCACTTTTATTATTCAATTTTTCACAAACTTCCATACTGCAATCTTATTATTCTCGAATTTCGAGATACCTTGTATATACATACATAAAATAAAACCCTTTACAATAGTATATGTTTAAAACTAAAAAATTTCATATTTTAATATTATTTTAATCGTTTTTATATCAAACAAAAATATAAAAATTACGTACAAGAAACATAAGAGTTTCCATCTGCCATAACATGTATATTATTCGGAACCAAAGAAATTAATTTTGCATGAGCAATGCAACTCCATATTTCTGTTTGTGCAACTTCAAATGCATGTATATGTTGCGAAAATCTTAGTGTTTCTACATTTTGATAAACATAATAAATATATTGATCATTATTTATTATAATATATCGAATGAGACCAAACAAATGAAATATACCATCTGTGTCTATTTCTACGATCATACCAGGTTTATATATGATTCCATTAATATTTAACCACGATACAGGAAAATAATTTTCATTAATATCTTCAGATAGTGCATTTTTAAAATTGTTATAATTGTCTAACTGTGTCAATGTATTCTTTAGAACAACGCCAACAGAAAAACGATTTTCGAAGCCCTTATTTTGAATGAATCGATATGTTAATTCTAGTTGATGCTTTAATGTTAAAGTATATGAAGGATTTCGCCGCGATGTTACCACCTTAGCGTTTTGTTTCATTTCTTTGTGTTTAGCTTCGAAACGCATGCAGGACAGATGTTTCAAAGGACCCATTTTTATTATTATTCGTGGATAATGTATCAAATAATGATGTTTAGGCTTTAATTTTTCTTTAAAAAGATCTAAATATAATTTATGATGTTCCGAATTCAGCGTCTCGAGCAGTTTGCAAGTTTCTCTTGTTGATATTGGTGTT